GTAAACATACCTTTATAAAATAAACAATAAATTTAAGTTAAACATATTTAATGAAGGAAAAAAAACTATAAATATTAAAAAAATTATAGATATTAAAAAACTATATATCTTTTTAACGTTTCTTATCAACACATTTTTTCAACAATATTTTTTTAACAGTTTTAATGACTACACTAACTACAAACAGATTTAATTATGTTTCATCATGGCAGTAAACCACTTAACTGGCGTGGACAATACTCTTGCACCAACAAAGCTAAGTCACATTATAGCAAAGTACACCACTTGGCTAGCAAGGTCAACATTCTTGCTGTAAACAAAGCCAAGTCACAACAATTTGAAACCAACATATTAACCACTTACAAACTATAAACAAATAACATTATATCACAAACATAGAAACACTCATATATAAAAGATATTTACACACTTACTAAATATAAACCCATATAACCTTTACACATAAACACATAAATAACACACAAATATAAATAAATATATAAATTAAGAAAAATATATAAATTAGAAACTTTGCAAATACAACCTTTTTTTCGTAAATATTTGTTTAATGACATACCTCATAATAAATGTTTAACAACTTGCAAAAACAGACGATCAAACGATCTTGTTTTTTATATAAAAGCAAACGGGATTTTTTTAGATTTCTTTTAAATAAGGTATTAAACAATCTTGTTCTTTTAGCATAGTAACATAGAGTTGTAACATAACATAGAGTTATAACATAACATGTAACATAGAGTTGACGGTGTAAGATGCAAGGGTTTTGGAGATAAACACTAACTTTATCAAGAGTTTGAGCTTTGAAAAGAGCAACGTTTTAAAATTTAAAAATTACAGATTAATATGCTTTAAATACATTTGACAAAGGACTTGAATTGTGTTATTATTATAATGCAATGAGTTAAATTACCTGACTTTAAAAGATACTTTACTAATTCAAAAATAACATTTTTGATTTTCAAGTTTCTTCACTTGAAGCAAATATATGATTATTTATAAAAGTTTTCAATTAATAGTTTTGTATTTACTTATTAATTGCGAATCTCACATTTAATGCATTTCAAAGTAATGAAAGGGATTTTTTTGACAAAGGATTACATTTCACCATTTAATGCAGTATTTGCTAAGCAGGTTCATCCTTTACTACAGAAGTTATCAAATAAAAATTGTCGACCTTATTACTAATAAAGCTGATGAAGCGATATTAAGCAGATATTGACAGATTATTAAGATTTTAGAGTACCTCATCAGGTGAGTTCAAAAGTATAAAGAAGAGAGCATGATGAATCCTATTTATAATAAATGGTCAAAAAGTCCGTGTAAACGCGCACGAATGTGCAGCAGCGGCAGCGTTAAATTAAGTATTAATACACGGTTTTCGAAATTCCCAAAAGTTGTAAAACCCACTCATGTTAACAAACACACAAAAATTTCGAGTAAACAAACTTAAAAAACGGTACGTTTTATAAGGGAATCAAGCTGTTTATTTGAATAGATTTTATATTTTGATATGTTTTTGCAAACTGAAATGATTGTTTTGAAATAAAAACTGCTTAATACACTAACTATTTTGATTTATTATTTTTGCTTTAGTTTTAATAAGTAGTTATTGGTAAAATGACATATCATTGCGTTGTGAAAAATTGTTCAAATGGAAGCTTATAGACTTATGAAATGGAAATATAAAATATGCACTGAACATGTAGAAACACAACAACAAGACAAACAAACAAACAAACAAGAACAATGTAGAAAAGAAGGTATTGGATGTAATTGTGCATCGTCTTTTCATTTATTTCCTTTTCCAACTATCAAAAAATCTCCCTCCCATGTGAAATTTGGATCAAACTAATTAACCGCTTAAACACTACTGAGACAAATGATTTTTTCTGCCCAAAGAAAAATGCTCGAGTTTGTTCTAATCATTTTAAAGAAAAAGAGCCTACTATAAAAAATCTTTATCTCACTGAGAACCTTGGATATGATTCTAGGCATAAAGTTGCTCTTTTGTGCCCTAGCTCTCGACCTCTAAATAGAAACAGTATAATAACTCCACACAGCCTTTACTTAAAAAATACAAATCAAATGTAAAGTCTAATACATACTTTAATACAATAGTTGATCAAAATCAAGACACCATTTCTGTTAAACAGTTATGTTCTAGTTCCTCGTTAGTTAGTGTCAACTTCACTACAAAAAATCCTGTTGACTTTATGATTGAACCAGTACCAGTGGTAGTAGTAGATAAAGAAGAAAACAATATTAATTCACTTTTTAATCATAATGAGTTCACTCAAGCTCGAGAATCAACTTTTTTAATAAGTAGCTTAAAAAAAACTATTGACAAATTAAAAAAATTAAATCTTCTTTTTCAAAACAAAAAATTACAAATTATAATTAAAAACAAAGTCAAAAGTAATCTTCAAAAAAAAGTCTACAAAAAATTATTAACAAATGACAAGAAGTGTAACTTTTACACAAACATTCCTTCCCTGAAAGTTTTTAACATTCTTCACGACCTTATAAAACCAATTGTACATCGTCGATTTAATTACAAAACTGAAATGAAATGTTCTCCTAAAAAAAACCCTAATAAAATAACACCAAAAAAACTTGGAAGATGCAGAAAATTATGTTCACAAGATGAGTTTTTACTTAATCTTATAAAATTACGTCTCGAACTTTTAAGCAATGATCTAGTTGATAGATTTAGTGTTTCTCTTGGCACTGTTTCAAAAATATTTTAATCGTGGATTAGAGGCATGTCACAGTATTTAAAATCATTCGTTTACTTTCCAGACGAAGAAAAAGTTCGCTTGAACCAACCTGATTGTTTTAAAAATAATCAAAGTCTGTTAGGATTATTTGATTGCTCTGAAATTTTTATTGAAACACCAAAAGATTTAGAACTGCAATCTGCAACATGGTCTGAGTACAAGCACCACAATACAATGAAGTTCCTTGTATCAGTTACTTCTAGCTCTTTCATAAATTTTGTTTCAGAAGCATATACTGGAAGAATATCAGATAAAGCAATAACATTGGATTGTGACTATCTTACAAAATTCTGATAAAGGTTTTAATATTGCTAGTGAGTGTGCTGCTTATAGGATTACCTTTATTTCCCCACCTGGAAAACGAGGAACTTCTCAAATAACATATGAAGAAGTAGTAGAAAGGAGTAATATTGCTAAACTCAGAATTCTCATTGAACAGATGATTAGAAGAAAGAAAACTTTTCGAATAATTGGACAAGAATTTCCTATATCACATCGTGATTTGTGCAGCTCTTTCCAATTTTAAATGTTTAATCATGAAATAATACTTTATCAATGCTCCAAAACAAAAATTTGTTAGTCCAAGTATATATATATATATATATATATATATATATATATATATATATATATATATATATATATATATATATATATATATATATATATATATATATATATATATATATATATATATATGCATATATGCATACATATATATATATGCATACATATATATATGCATACATATATATATATATATATAATATATATATATATGCATACATATATATATAGTATATATGTATATATATATATATATATAATATATATAATATATATAATATATATATGCATACATATATATATAGTATATATGTATGTATGTATATATATATATATATATATATATATATATATATATATATATATATATATATAATATGCATTATATATACTTTATATAACATATAATTTTTATATAATATATAAATATATATATATATATATACATCTTTATTCAATAAAGAAACGATACAGATATTGATTTTTTATGTACTCATAAAAAAGACTTTAATGCTATTACACTAAATAGTTTAAATTCATCAATAGATTGTTTTTTGAGTACTAAATCATCATTGTTACTCATTTTAATTGGATGTTTTGCCTGTGTTTCACTGCGATTATCTGTTTGTTTACTCGAAATTTTTGGTTCTGTACATTCTAGTATGTATATTTTGCATAACAAAAGTTAAATTTCGAAAACCGTGTATTATAAGCGATTTGCCAGTTATTGCTATGCAACCACCTAATAATGATATCAGAAAATATTCACACGATATCAAAAGACATCATAGATTAATAATTACAATTGTTTTATATAATTATTGTTGTCATATTTATTCACAACGTTCATACAAGGAACAAATATAGAAGTTAATAATAATCAGCACAAATTAAAATTATGTAAAAAAGTTTAACGAAAAATGAAAAGGTTGAAAAATTATAATATAAATGTAACGAAAACGTTTTAGTTATTTAAAAAAAATTATTTTAAGAGCTATATTATAAAAATACAATATTCGGGCCACCTTTAAAAAGATAAAAATAAAAAAAAATAAAAATAAAAATACAAAAAATAAAAATAAAACCTTTATAAAGATAGATTGCTACAAAGTAAAGTTATAGCAATTTACATCTTTATAAAAGTCGCACGCTGCCAAGGCCTGTAATATAGTAAGATATTTTCTAATGTTTAAAGTACGCTTAGTATGTTATTGTTTTTTTTAAGTCTTGAAATGTTTTTTTGTTTAAAAAAGTAAAAATTAATAAACTTAATGTTCTTAGCTTTATGTTAACTTATACTTAATCTTAACTTAGTTTTATACTTTAAGTTAACTTAGTCTTATACTTAATCTTAACTTAGTCTTAAACTTATTTTTCACCCACCCCAAGAGTGTGTGAAAATATTTCTGAACTCATGTTCTCTATTGTATCATGAAAATGTTTACTTGAGACTTTTTACAATGTTAAAATGCTAAAATGAAATTATTATACTAAAAATACTTATACTAATATTATACTTATAGTATTATAATGAATACTTATATTATACTACTAATAATTAAAATATTATGTTGTGCATATAATGTTAATTTGAGTATATTGAATGTCATTATCATCTGCGCGTAATTTTTGTAGCTTCTCGAGAGTATTCTTCCGCCACGAGCTAAAGTGGCTGACATTGATATGACACGTGAAGACGTTCAAGAGGTTATGCTCAGTAGTTATGATGCGTCAATGGATAATGGTTCTTCCAACCAACGTGAAGCTTATCATCAAGATGATGATGGTGACGATGATGGACATGGTCCCCATGGTCAAGGGATGTCTTGTGCTCAACAATAATATCGGCTAACAGTTTGTAAATTTCGAAAATGTTAAAATATTTGTCAAATATATTTTGGACTTGTCATGTTTTAAGTATTAATGTTTTCTCTCAAGTTAAAATTATCTATATCCTGAGTCTAATTTTAAATTTTATTACATTAAAAAACAAAAAGGCAACATGATTTTAACTTGTCACGTTTAGATATAAAAATCTTGAATCTACTAATTTGATCTACAACAAAATCGTCCCAAATCCTACCTAAAAGTTGAAATGTTTTTCAGATGTCTTACTTCTCGATGCAACTTAAGCTTGGTTTCCAGTAGTTGTAGAAATGTCGTACAACAGTTATACAACAATAATGCTTTATAATAGAAACATTTTCTTGCGTAAGTTGCACAACTTAACGTCGGTTGTACAACAAAGTTTATGTTGTAAAAACAAAGGTTGCGAAGATAGAATTAAACCTATTTCGGCAACAATTGTTGTACAACAAAAACGCACAACTGTTGCACAACAATTCTACAACTATTGGAAAATAAGCTTATATATATTTTAAAGCAGCCATGGCGCAGTGGTTAGAGTTCTGGCTCAGAAACCAGTGGTTCGACGCCAGCTCTAGCCCAACAAACTACATTGGTACGGAAGGAGGCGTCAACTTCCTGTTAAATGCTCTCCCGCGGTGCTCTATGATAAGACCTTAAAGACTTCTGGGAGCACCTAAATGCTTACAAAAAAAAAAAAAGCCGATAATTTAAATCAAATCCGATTGGTTGTTAGTAACAAACCAAAAAACTTTTTATTTATTGGTATTTAATTTATGCAAACAAAGAATTCGAATTGAATATAAATTATTTATAAAATTTTCCGCCTCTGTATTTTAATTGTTAACGCATTCTGAATGTAATAATTTATTATTTCAAGATGGCCGAATAAGTCCCGAGTATTTCAAAAAATGATACTAAATACCGAAAACAGTTTTTTAAATGGGGCTAAAAGTTATGATTATTTATGCAAAAACGACTTTGGTTGAAAAATTAACACTACCATAGGTTATCTAGATCTAACGTGACATTGTTGTTTAACATACTCATTTAGGTGTGGTACTGAAAATAGTAACTTCAATTTTCATAAAAAAATGTTTTTTTATTGATAATTTTTCCAAATTATTTATGATTAGCAATGTAAGTTACATTCATTGAAAATGAACACCGATACGTGTTTTTATCAAAAAATCAAGTTCATAGATTTATCTAGTTCACGATTTAAAGGTTTATATTAGTTACTGCCTACAAGCTCTTCTCTGTCTCTAGATCTGTTACAAGAAAATATTCCTCGTACCGCGTTGAAAATAGTGGGTATTGTAATCATGTGATGACATTTATACTTGCAGAGTATTTTTTATTATTTTTATACAACCACCAATTTTGCTTTAAAAAAAATAATTCAACTGAACATACAGTTATCCAATTCGGACAAAAAATCTCTAATTCTTTAAAAAAAATCTAAACACGCATTAGTTATTTTCATTAACCTAACAAATGCATTCGATACTGTCGATCATGAAATTTTGGTACAAAAACTAAAGTAATATAGAATAAATTACAAAGATATAAGATTGGCTCAGAAGTTAATTATCTAATGGCAAACAATTTGTTTTCAGCAACAATGAATATCCAAATGAGTTTCTAAATATTTCTTGTGGCGTTCCACAAGGTTCCCTTTTCGAACCACTATTGTTCTTGATTTATATAAATGACCTAAATAAAGCCTCAAATTTAATGAGTATGTTTGTCGATGATACTAACTATTCTTTTTCGATAATGACATTTATAAACTCTTCTATACTATGAATGATGAACTTAAAAGTATATCCAAATGGTTTAAATGTAACAAACTAATTCCTAACATTGAAAAACAAACTGAGTACTTTTCAATCCAGTCTCAAAAAAAAGCTTAGTTACGATATTTTTTATTGAAGATGTTGAAATAAAATAACATTTCACGAAGTTCTTGATGTCACATGGAAATGTCGCATGGAAAACACATATTTAAAATATTGGTGCAAATATTTCTAAAAAATATCTGAATTTTATAAAATGTCAGAATATATTTATGTCAAAAAAAAAAGTCAACTTTATTAATTATTCATTCATATTTAATTAAATTATGCTAATATTGCACTGAAAAAGTAAATTGAAATGCCTTTATCGCCGTCAGAGACATGCGATCTGTTTAATAAATTTTGCGGATCGATAAATGAAATGAATTTCATTTATTTCATTTATCGATCCGCAATCGTATGTTAAAATGAAAGTTTTTTACGTATATAACGAAGAAACATGCAAAAAAAATTATTATGCAAGGTTGTTGGAAAAAACACGCAAAAACAAACAAAAAACGTGGAATGTGATTAAGCAGATAATCGGTTCAAATAAATGTCCTAAAAATAATTTGCCACAAAAACTCTTAGGGTGGAATGCAAGAAGCGAACTTGAGTCAAGCTTGGCTTAAACTTTACATTGCAACCAATAGCGACAGAGTATGGGTTTTCCCCTCAAAAAATACTCTGCCGCTATTGGTTACAAAGTAAAGTTCAAGTCGAACTTGACTCAAGTTTGCTTCTTCCATTCCACCCTTAGTTGATGGGGAAAATGATTTATAATAAGGAAGTCATAATTAAAAACCTCAACAAATTTTTTATTCATATTGGCCCATAGCTGATAAAATTCCAAAAAACACATCAAACTTTGAATCTTATATGAAATCAATCAATACATCTATGAAAGAGGTATAATTAAACATAAGTGAGTTGCGAAATGCCTTTAACTGTCTAAAAAATAATAAATGTGCTGATCAAATTAGCGTGAATGTTATTAAAGCAGTGTTTGATATTATTGAACCGTTTTTAATCTGTCACTAAAATCCGGAATTGTACCAGAGAAATTAAAAATTGCTAAGATCAAAAGATTGAAATCAAAATCTCCAAAAGTATCTCAATGCTACATAAAGTTAAACCATTTCTTAATATTGAGTCTTTAAAATTATATATTTTTCATTTATTCATAGTTATCTTTCCTATTGCAATATTGCATGGGAATATATACAACTATGGGAAGCTTAAAAAAATCTATAGCAAACAAAAACATGCATGTAGAACTATATTTGTTGTTAACAGAACTTTTAATGGGAATCTCTTTTAATGGAACTTAATGCACTTAATGTTTATAAACTTAACATATACCAAGTTATGCTTCTAATGTTTAAGACGAGACATGGTTCATCTCCTAATTATTTCACTCTCACTTCACCGAAATTACTCATAAATACCCCACAAAGTATTCAATTAAAAATTTTGTTATTCCGGGATCTTATTTAAAACTCAGCTCGTTTCAAATTCAATACCATTGACCATTTATATGAAAAAGTTTTTTGAAAAATATTATTATAAATAAAACGCTTCTAAATTTCTCACTAGAACAATTCAAAAGAGAATTTAAACGATTTCTATTAGAAAATTACCTCGATCTTTAAAATTTTATTTTAAATAAGTACCTAAAATAATTAAAAGATTGCAAATTATATGAATCAGGAAGATGAAGGAAGCAAATTCCAAAGAACTGATGTTCGAGGAAAAAAACTAGACGAATAAGAGTTTTTGGAGCACTCAGGAACAGAAACAGAAAAAGGATAAGACTTAATTGAATGACGAGTAACACGAGAATGATTTTTAGTAGATGGCACAAAAGGCGCTAGCTCTTTAGAGCAGTGCCCATTATAGAATTTGCAGAAAAGAGAAAGAGAAGCAACATTACGATGATGTGACAAAGGTTGAAGGTTGGCTGCAAAAGCAGGTCCAACTATGTTTACAATGCTTTTTTAAATCTTGTCTAAAAGAGAAAGACCATAATTAGAAGATCCGCACCCAGATATGGCAACAGAATTCCATACATGGCCGGATTTGAGATTTATAGAGATAAAGAATAGAATCCAGAGTAAGAAAGTGACGAGCTCGATAAAGAGAAGCAACTTTAGCAGATGCTAATTTTGCAACGAATTTGTTATAAGGTTTCCAAGAAAGATCAGAAGTAAGAGTTAGTCCTAAAAGATGAAGGGTTGATGACTCATCAAGTACATTGCTGTTCATAAATATAGGAAGGTCTAAATTATTGCGATAACGATTGGCTAAAAAAAATTGAGTTTTATCTGAATTAAAGTTTACCAGTCACTGTGAGTCCCATGCTGTTGCAGAAGTGAGATACTTTTCAAGTTCAAATGCCCCTGCAAGCAATCAGAGGGAGTTGGCTTCTTATTATGACAAGAATAAATGGTAGTATCATCAGCAAACAATGCCACCTTAGATGTGAGAAAATCTGGAAGATCGGTAATGTAAATTAAAAAAAGTATATGGCCAAGGATTGAATCTTGAGGAACCTCTGAGGTTACAGAATAAGAAGAGTGCTGTCCATCAAGGACAACTTTTATACTGCGATTGGAAAGAAAGGATTCAAAAATCTTAAAGAGGTTTCCAGATACACCGTAAGAAGAAAGCTTAAGGAGAAGACCAGCATGCCAAACTTTATCAAATGCTTTAGAAATATCAATAGCGATGGTCTTAACCTCTTCACCTTTATCTAATGCGCAATAAAACCTATTGGTTATTACTGTTAGCAAATCAGCCGTAGAACGAGAAGATCGAAATCCATATTGATGATCAGAAAGTAGATTATGAGATTCGAAATGAGAGATTAAGTGTTTGTTAAATAAAGATTCAAAAACCTTGCTTAAGAAGACTAATGGGACGGTAGTTAGACGAATCAAATCGCTCTCCAGAATTTTTAAAAATAGGGGTAAAAGATGCTGCTTTCCAGCAGGCTGGAAAACAAGACTCTGATAAGCACTTGTTAAATAGTTTTGAAAAGATAGACAACAGCTCCGGAGAACACTTCTGCAAGACTATAACAGGTATGTTGTCCGGGCCACAAGCTGTAGAAGAGATTAAGCAGGAAATTACTTTAAATACAGTAGCTGGAGTGATACGGATGTTGAGCAATAGATCAACCTGTTTGACGGCTATATCAGGTAGAACGCAACT